AAAAATAAATCCTGGACCTCTTCTTGTTCTAAGATACATATTGACTCTGTTTGATAAATTGCACTAAAACAATGCATCTTTTCTCTTATATATTATTACAATGCAATTGTATTTTAAACCAAAACAAGACTACAGTAACAATTCAGCAGACACTGTTTCAGGTAGTCTAGTTTCACCAGAGAACATGCCCTCTGTGACATTATAGTCATGGTCCTGGGCCATGTGGGCCCAGTATTCTTAGTTTTCATGCATTTTTGTATTTTGTTCCTTATTTAGGCCATGTTTTCTGAGTTGCCCTGTTGTGTTGTTCCCTAAGTGTCCCCCTGTGTGCCCTCTATGTATTGATGAGCCCTCGTCTCCCCTTGTGGTTGTTTCATGTTTCCCCAGCCCGTTATGTCGGTGTTTTCCCCGTGCTCTCTCTCCTCCTGTCGGAACCTCTGCCTCTACATGTCATGTTCAGTTCACCCCGCCCTGTCTCGTTATGGTTATCTGTGTCACCTGTGTTCCCCGTGTGTTCCCACTTTCCTCGTTAACCCTCTGTGTATTTCTGTCTGCGTCTTCCTCTGTTCGGCGTCGCGTTCTCCCTCATGTTGTGTGGATCTCCCTGTGTCTCTCCGCGTATGTTAGTTTACTTTTCCCAGTTTAGTTTTGTATTTCCTATGTTCTGCCATTCCAGCATTAAAGCTGTGATTTTGAGTTCATCCCCGTGTCTGTGAGTTTTGCTATTGGGTCCTTCTCCTGCCTGCCACACAACGTATCATGACAATTATAGTCTAGGAATGAGGAGTGGTTAAATTAAATGGATCTTGACCTTTGCTCCACTCCTTCCTCTTCGGTCTGTACCTGGGTGATATACAGCCTGTGACAGGCAGCCTTCAGGCCTTGGAATCTCTCTCTCTACATATATATATATATATATAAAAAACACCCAGCACGCCCCTGCGGGCGGTTTATCCTTCAAGCTCGGGTCCTCTACCAGAGGCCTGGGAGCTTGAGGGTCCTGCGCAGTATCTTAGCTGTTCCCAGGACTGCGCTCTTCTGGACAGAGATCTCCGATGTTATTCCCGGGATCTGCTGGAGCCACTCGCCTAGCTTGGGAGTCACCGCACCTAGTGCTCCGATTACCACGGGGACCACCGTTACCTTCACCCTCCACATCCTCTCGAGCTCTTCTCTGAGCCCTTGGTATTTCTCCAGCTTCTCGTGTTCCTTCTTCCTGATATTGCTGTCATTCGGAACCGCTACATCGATCACTACGGCCGTCTTCTTCTGTTTGTCTACCACCACTATGTCCGGTTGGTTAGCCACCACCATTTTGTCCGTCTGTATCTGGAAGTCCCACAGGATCTTAGCTCGGTCATTCTCCACCACCCTTGGGGGCATCTCCCATTTTGACCTCGGGACTTCTAGGTTATACTCGGCACAGATGTTCCTGTACACTATGCCGGCCACTTGGTTATGGCGTTCCATGTATGCCTTGCCTGCTAGCATCTTGCACCCTGCTGTTATGTGCTGGATTGTCTCTGGGGCATCTTTACACAGCCTGCACCTGGGGTCTTGCCTGGTGTGATAGACCCCAGCCTCTATGGATCTTGTACTCAGAGCTTGTTCTTGTGCTGCCATGATTAGTGCCTCTGTGCTGTCTTTCAGTCCAGCTTTGTCCAGCCACTGGTAGGATTTCTGGATATCAGCCACCTCCTCTATCTGCCGGTGGTACATACCGTGCAGGGGCCTGTCCTTCCATGATGGTTCCTCGTCTCCCTCCTCTTTCTTGGGTTTCTGCTGCCTGAGGTATTCACTGAGCACTCGGTCAGTTGGGGCCATCTTCCCAATGTATTCTTGGATGTTCCTTGTCTCATCCTGGACTGTGGTGCTGACACTCACCAGTCCCCGGCCCCCTTCCTTCCGCTTAGCGTACAGCCTCAGGGTGCTGGACTTGGGGTGAAACCCTCCATGCATGGTCAGGAGCTTTCTTGTCTTTATGTCAGTGGCTTCTATCTCCTCCTTTGGCCAGCCTATTACCCCAGCAGGGTACCTGATCACGGGCAGGGCGTATGTGTTGATGGCCCGGATCTTGTTCTTACCATTCAGCTGACTCCTCAGGACTTGCCTGACCCTCTGCAGGTACTTGGTGGTTGCAGCCTTTCTAGCGGCCTCTTCATGGTTCCCATTTGCCTGCGGGATCCCCAAGTACTTGTAACTGTCCTCTATGTCTGCAATGTTGCCTTCTGGTAGTTCAATCCCCTCAGTTCTGACTACCTTCCCTCTCTTTGTTACCATCCGACTACACTTCTCCAGTCCGAACGACATTCCAATGTCATTGCTGTATAGCCTGGTAGTGTGGATCAGTGAATCGATGTCTCGTTCACTCTTGGCATACAGCTTGATGTCATCCATGTACAGGAGGTGGCTGACAACTGCTCCGTTCCGTAGTCGGTATCCGTAGCCAGTCTTGTTAATGATCTCACTGAGGGGGTTCAGGCCTATGCAGAACAGCAGTGGGGACAGAGCATCTCCTTGGTAGATCCCGCACTTGATGGTAACTTGTGCTATGGGCTTGGAGTTGGCCTCTAGTGTTGTACGCCACATCCCCATTGAGTTCCTGATGAAGGCTCTTAGGGTCCCATTGATCTTGTACAATTCTAGGCATTCCAGTATCCAGCTGTGGGGCATTGAGTCATAGGCCTTCTTGTAATCAATCCAGGCAGTGCACAGGTTGGTCAGTCTGGTCTTGCAGTCTCGGCTGATTGTTCTGTCTACCAGTAGCTGGTGTTTTGCACCTCTGGTATTCTTGCCAATTCCTTTCTGTGTCCCGCTCATGTATTGACCCATGTGCCTGTTCATCTTAGCCGATATGATGCCTGACAGGAGCTTCCATGTAGTACTGAGGCAGGTTATTGGTCGGTAGTTGGAGGGGACCGGTCCCTTCTTGGGGTCCTTGGGGATCAGGACCGTCCGGCCTTCAGTTAGCCATTCCGGGTGTCTCTCGTTAACTAGCAGCTGGTTCATTTGTGCTGCCAGACGCTCGTGGAGTGCAGTCAGCTTCTTCAGCCAGTAGGCGTGAACCATGTCGGGCCCTGGTGCTGTCCAACTCTTCATACTGGAGACCCTTTCTTGGATATCTGCCACTGTGATGGTTACTGGACCCTGTTCAGGGAGGTCGCTGTGGTCTGCCCTCAGATCCACTAGCCACTGAGCATTGCCGTTATGGGTTGCATCCTTCTCCCATATGCTCTTCCAGTATTGCTCCGTCTCCAGCCTTGGTGGTGCTGTTCTCTTATTGTTCCCTTGCCACTGAGAGTACACCTTTGCTGGTTCTGTGGAGAACAGCTGGTTTATTCTCCTGCCTTCTATCTCTCTGGTGTACCTCCTCAAGCGGCTGGCCAAGGCTGTGAGTCTTTGCTTGGCAGTTTCCAAGGCCTCAGGTATGGACAGCTTGCTGTATTTCTTAGGCACCTTATTTGTCGCACCTTTCTGCAACTCTGTTAGTTGGCTAACCTCCCTCCGTGCTACTTTGATCTTGCCCTCTAGCCTCCTTCTCCATGGAGGGTACTGCCCCTTGTGGCTGTTCAACTTGTAGCCAAGCATCTCACTGATCACTGCTGCCGTATTGTAGATCAGCTTGTTAGTGTCGGTAATCGTGGTTGTAGGTATTGCCCGTAGTGCTGCATTAACATCATCTAGCAGACCTTCTGAGGGTACTTCACGTAATCTTGGTAACCGGCTACGGGGGATCCAGGTTTCAAGCTTGGCCATGATCCTATTTTTCAGGTCAGTTCCTCTCGCACTCAACGATCCTTCTCCTATCGCACTTGGGGCTATGTACCCAATCTCGGGTGGGGGTGATGATATCTCCCCCCTGACCTGGCGTCCTGACTCCTCCTTGCCGTAGCATTTGTGTTGTACCTCGTCAATCTCTAGCTGTGAGAGCAGTCCCTTCTTTCGAATGTTGGAACACTGAGCTACTAGTTGTTTCGCCGTCATTGTGGATGTTGGGTATCGAAGAATCCATAGGTCCCTCATCCTATTCATGTAGCCCCTTCCGCCGGGGTTACTTGCGTAGTAGCATTCCAACAACGCCCTGTTTTCGTCCCTTGCCCACCGATGCCTTCTTGTTCCAGTAGCCCACTTTTCGTCAGGGTGCCCTGGTTCCTCAACACCTGACGCGGACCTTGTTGATCCGGGCGACGTCCGAGCCGGCATGCCTTCATATTTATCTGTCTCGCTCATGTCTGCGGTAGGCTTGCTTAGCATAGGGGGTCTAGCCTTAGGACCCTTACTGGATACAGACGCCCCAGGCAGGAATCGAACTTGCGATCCTCTGTTCCAAAGGCGTGTAGTTTTAACCACTACGCTATCCAGCTGCTATATATATATATATATATATATATATATATATATATATATATTATATATATATATATATATATATATATATATATATATATATATATATATATATATATATATATATATATATATATATATATATATATATATATATATATGCCTCAAGCTCCCAGGCCTCTGGTAGAGGACCCGAGCTTAAACACCCGCAGGGGCGTGCTGGGTGTTTATATATATATATATATATACATATATATATATATATATATATCTGATGTACCAGCAGGGCTTTGGCCAATCATGGGCCAGTATAGAGTTTATATAATCTGAATGTTGGACCTGAGGCCCCAAAACCTGAGACATGTTATATGTTTGATTATTTTTTGTTTACTTTTGAAATAAAAATGCATATTCGGTTATTTTAAAAACTCAATAAAGGCTATTTCGAGATTTTTAAGCTTGTTTATCTGACTTTTTAAAATAATATTAGGCATAAGCTACTTTTTCTATGTGTTGCCACAGCTCTGTAAACAATCCAGATGAAGTGTCTTTTACAATTATATATAATATTTTCTCAAAAGTGTTCTTCTAAAAAGGTGAACTCTACAATCCGGCGCTGACGGCTTCACGTCATCTAGTCCTTACCTATCACGGCTGGAGAGGGGGCGTGGCCTCGCTTTGCTAAGACGAACGCAGTTTAGCCAGCTAGCGAGTTAGCTTCCTGGAAATGGCCACCTGGGGGAAAGTTACCGCTCTCCTGAGGGGTGTCTTGAGGAGCCCTCGATCTCTGAAAACCTTCGCACAGTACCGTACTGTCGGTCGCGGCATTGTGGCCTCTGTAATTGGCACCGGGGTTGTCTGTTATTACCGGTATCATGTAAACAACAGGACTCTGCCCTTCGCCGTTTATGCTAAGGAAGAAAAAGTAAGTAGACACTTCAGAAAGTTTCTGTCGTCAAAATTCACCGCAAACGAACAGTACCGCTCATATACCTGTCTGTGTTCCTTTAAAGTACGATGTTTCGTAATTACAAGTACAAGCGACACAATAATGTTAGTTGACACAAATTCATAGTGTCAATTAGTGCCCCCTAGCGGTGCTCACTGAAACTGTTTGTACTTATACACAGTGAATCTGTTCGTCTGACTTATTAGATATAATTTAATAAAATTAATTTTGAACTAACCACTCATTTGTCCATTTAATCATTAAACATATAAAGGGAGGTGCTGTCGAACGTGTTCTGTAGCTTACATTGGTGTTTGTGCTCCTTGTGCTGTTGCAGGAAGATGCAGCTCCCCAGATGTCTGCAAGGAAAATCCGCTTCATCCAGTTTGCCTCAGTCGTCCATGAAGAGGAGCCCTACATGACCCCCAGAGACTTCCTATTCTCTGTGATGCTGGAGAAAGTTGATCGTAAGCAGCTCATACAGCGTACAACATGTCAAACAGCTCAAAGCCTTCCATAATCTACATCCCTGTTCTTTCTTAACTAAATATATATAGGATGTAATTTGCCAGGTCAAATGGTAGATTTAACTTTGCTAAATACTTTTTCATCCCCACTATGTGTCATGTATGTCAAAGAACAGTGCCCTTATTTTGTGAATCTTTCTAATGCGAATATAGTGAAACTTAAACTGCTCATGTTTACTGTGTTTAACTAATAAAAAAAATGCTGTGTGTGTGGGGATGGGTGAGTGTGGCCTATGGTGTACAGTGCTTTCATGTGTCAGTAAGACTGGACTAGACCATCTGTATGTAGTAGCAGTACGAGAAGACTGAGTGCAGTTCTGACTGGGAAGAGGAACCTCCATGTTCCCACAAAGCAAAACAGAGTAGTTTGTTGTGTGCATGGAACAACTTCACGTGCGCGGCTTGCCTCGTGCCTGTTATTGAATAATTTTGTGCTGTTCTGTTATCAACACATCTTCTCTGGTTTTTGCAGGAAAGCTGCAAAAGAAAATTTTAACCAAACAGGTACATTAACTTCCTAGCAGTGTGTAACCTGCACATGCAGACTTTTCTTTAGGCTAATGGTTCGTTTTATCCCGGCAGGATGTGAACGGTATGCTGGTGGCTGCCTCTAAAGCTCGTGCTGGTAATGATCTCTTCAGAAACTTGGGAGATAAAGGTAAGTTCTCAAAGGGGACTGCAATGCCATACCTTTTAATTGTCAGGTGGATCATCTGTTTAAATCCTCCCCCCAATTTCTCTATTCACTATAACACCAGAATGATCACCAGCTCCTTTTATCATTTTTTAAAGGTGTTGTTGAGCAGTAGTTCTCCAGGTTTTTCAGAAGTCTTTCAAAAGGTTTTCTTTGGACATTGGCTGCTTTTGTCAGTCATTTTCAGTCCAGGGCTCGTAGCTGATAATTTTTAGAGAAACGTTTTTACCCTCAGCTGTAAAAGAGTGATGGGGCATTGTCATGAGTGTGTGAATGCAATAACTCAAGAACAAGGCGTAGGATTTCAAAATTGATGCATCTATTAAAAACCTCAGGCGTTTTGGAGGATTTGTCACGTTTTGGGGCTGCATGTCAGCCGTGGTGTTCATTTCACTGACTGTTTTTCCTGATGACAACAGGACGATAACTAGATAAAAATGAATGCACAGTGATAAAATGTGTTGTCTATGATTAAAAACGAGATGTAAATGTTCTGGAGAGACGAGATCCAATCAGAAGTAATCCCGGGCATTAAGGTTACAATGTCTACAAACTCTGGTTTCATCTTATGTTCTGCATTTGCTTGCATGTTTGCACGTTTCAGTAAATGGCCTATTTCCCATTTTCCTTGCAAAATATAAAGAAAATGAGAGGTCCGCTTTAACCTGTCAGCAGACCATCAACAATCCACCTTTTCATGTTTAATGATAATCCTCTTTGTCAGTGTGTCCCCCTGTTTGTTATCTGAAATGCAGCACAGTGTATTTTATCTCTCACAGGTTTGATATCCTACACAGAGTATCTGTTCCTGCTGTCCATCCTGACCAGTAAGTCTCTCCAATAGTCCAAGCTCCTGCAGGAGATATTGTGCTGACTGGTTCACTCCATTCTGGACTGTTTATTTCTGATACTCTTTGTCTACATGACATAACTACATAACTGCCCTACATTGTTATTGCAGAGCCGCGCACTGGATTTGATATAGCCTTCAAAATGCTCGACATTGATGGCAACGAGCATGTGGACAAAAAGGAGTTTTTGAAAGTAAGAGCTGTGATGTGTTAGGATGTGTTGACAATAAAAGCAGAAGTAGATTATAACAGATCATAATGAAGCAGTAAATTCATGGGCGGACTTATTATACAGGAATATTTGTTCTAAATATCTGTGTGCACTTAATTTCAAACTGTCGCCACTTTTAACGCTTCCTCATGTGCTACAACTCCTGCAGTTGTAAGTATGAACCAAGGCACCACGTGAAGGTGAGGGAGAGCTGTAGCTGCTCGAGTCTTGTATTTTATCTGTCGCTGCTTGAGTTTAGTGGATTTATTTAAAGTCACCTGACTTTTTTTTTTTTTTCTTTGACTTTTCAACCAGACAGAGAAGATTTGTGTAGCACTCAGGCTTAGAACGATGGGCTTTTGTTTTAGACTGCATGTTGGCACGTCCTTCACCTTGTTATAGTTTCATGTTATGACTTGGTGAACAAGCCAAAGGCATTTAGTGAAAAGTAGAAGTGCATGGATTCTCATCTGCTCTGGTTTCTATCATGTGATTACATGAAAGCCACATCTCTAACTTGATAAGTGAACTGTACCACAGCTTTATATTTGTTTGGACTTGTCTTGTGACTGTTGTAAAGAGAAACCCCTTTTCAAACATGCTGTTTTTTATTTGTTTGTTTTTTGTATTGTCTGTTTGATAATGTAGGATGTTGCTCACACTTGGACAGCCAAACATTTTCAGTACAACTAGTTATTTTGATTAACTGGTTAACTTAAATTTAATTTATTTCTTCTTTTTGTTGCTGAAGCTCAAGAAAATCATGGGAAAAACTAAACTGCGAGCCCCGATAGATACTACAGAGGTGAGTGTTCATTGGTTGATGGGCTAGTTGAAAACATACAGGCTGATAACACTGGCCGAGGACCAGAAAGAATCATCTGTTTTCAAAAGTTTGCAGAAAATTTTAAAATACATGGTTGATTTTACACTTTTACATGCAAAACTTATAATTTTCACAAGTGCTCAATGTGTTTCCCTCTGGATGCACGGCATATGTCCATTCAATATTCAAACACGTCAAATGTGTACAGCTATGTGATACTCACAAATCCTGTCTTTCCAACAGTATGTGCTTCCATTCTCACCAAAACACTATGAAATCAGATGACTCTTCTTGACACACTTTGTATATTACTCTAGTTCTACCTCAAACATTAGCATGTTTTGTTTTGGGGGTTTTCATCAGTATTATGGTGTCATTTCTGCCACTTCACTTTGAATGTTAACACACATGATGTTGTTGAACACTGTCTGCATGTTACCCAGAAAACCACAGAAGAAGGAGAAGGTGTGAACACAACACTACAGGCCTACTTCTTTGGAAGGAAAGGGGACAACAAGTTGCAGTATAAGGACTTCTGCCGGTAGGGATACCCCCTAATAATCACAGTCATGTACTACAGAGCACATGACATTTTCTTTTTCATAAGTAGCAGCTCTGTATACAAATTTTACAATGTAACATTTCTGTCTTTTTGAAATCTCAGACATTGTCAATATTTGAATCTCACCTGTAAGGGATGTAGACGCTCCCTAAATCCTTTGCATGTAGAAATACTGTTTGAACATGTCGTTAGGCAAAGGCAAGGAAAAGAACAGTAAAGCTCATATTAGGCTTGAACTGCTTTCTTTAAAAAAAAGGAGAGAGAAAGAAACTTAAGTTCTCCACGTGTTTCAGGAGCACACATTCTTTCTGCCCAATTTAACTCATCCAGCCAAAGGAGTGTTGAGCTCATACCATAGCGAGATAGTCGTCATCTTTCCATCTATTCGCAGTTCATAAGAATTTTTGCTTCTCCGATAGCTTTTGATCAGATTTTAGTGACACGTGCTAACAGTGATTACCTCATGGGTCTTCATTCAAACTGGGGTCAAGATCATATTTGTCATTTTCATAGTACAACTCTAATGCATACTACATAATGCTCGGGTCTTATTTTCTACAGTTGACAGGCTAACAAACCCTCCTGTGTCAGTGGCAGCTGAACTTCATTCGACCATGGCCTGCAATGACTTTGCCAAATTCTTCACTGAAAAAATCCAAAAAATTAGACAAGCAATTGGTACATCAACAGCAGATCCAGGATATGTACTGTGTCCACCAAAAAACTGTTTAAACACCATGAAACAGTTTCAACCTATTAACAGCAAAGACCTGGAGGACATCTTAGGTCAACTGAACTCCTCCTCCTGCTGTTTAGATGTCCTGCCAACAAGTTTTTTCAAAAAGGTCTCAAAGACTTTAGAGTCAGACCTGTTACAGATCGTCAACTTTTCTTTATTATCAGGTGTGTTTCCAGAATCACTAAAAACTGCTGTAATCAAACCTATACTGAAAAAGGACAATCTTGACAAGACACAAATGAACAACTACAGGCCGATCTCAAATCTCCCGTTTTTAAGTAAGATCATTGAAAAAGCAGTTTCTCAACAGCTCAGTTACTTCTTAAAACAGAATAATTGCTACGATGCCTTCCAGTCAGGTTTTAGACAGAACCACAGCACTGAAACCGCTCTGACCAAAGTGTTTAATGACATATGTCTGAATACAGACAGTGGAAAAATGTCAGTCTTAGTTTTACTGGATCTCAGTGCAGCATTTGATACAGTTGACCACAACATATTACTCAAACGACTGGAGAACTGGACAGGTCTTTCAGGAACTGTACTAAACTGGTTCAAAACATACTTAGAAAACAGGAAATACTTTGTATCAATAGGTAACTTCACATCTGAGCAGACAAGTATCACATGTGGAGTTCCCCAAGGTTCCATTTTGGGACCCCTTCTGTTTAACATCTACATGCTCCCACTGGCACAGATTATAAACAACAACAAAATAAACTATCACAGCTATGCAGATGACACACAAATATATATCACAATGTCACCAGGAGACAGAGGCCCTGTACAGGCTCTTGGTAAATGCATTGAGGAAATCAATGACTGGTTGTGCCACAATTTTCTCCAGCTAAACAAAAACAAAACTGAGGTAATAGTCTTTGGCGCCAAAGAAAAACGATTACAGGTCACCAGAGAACTTCAATCTGTACACCTAAAAACCACAAAACAGGCGAGAAATTTGGGTGTAGTGATGGATGCAGACCTAAACTTAGAAAAACACATTAAGACAATAACAAAGTCAGCTTACTATCACCTCAAGAATATATCAAGGATAAAAGATCTGATGTCTCAACAGGACCTGGAAAAACTAGTCCATGCATTCATCTTTAGTAGGCTTGATTACTGTAACAGCATCTTTACAGGTCTACCTAAAAAATCAGTCAGACAACTACAGCTCATTCAGAACTCTGCTGCTCGAGTCCTCACTAAGACCAAAAAAGTGGACCACATCAGTCCAGCTCTGAGGTCTTTACACTGGCTGCCTGTCCGTCAGAGGATAGACTTTAAAGTTCTGATGCTGGCCTATAAAGCTCTGAATGGTTTAGGACCAAAATACATCAATGACCTCCTGACCCAGTATGAACCATCCAGATCCCTCAGGTCATCTGGATCCGGTCTTTTATCAGTTCCCAGAGTCAGAACCAGACATGGAGAAGCTGCATTCAGCTTTTATGCTCCTTATATCTGGAACAAACTCCCAGAAAGCCTCAGATCAGCTGAAACACTCAGTTTATTTAAATCCAGGTTGAAGACTCACCTGTTCTCAGCTGCATTTGAATAAAGCACCAAATCCACACTTTAAGCTTAAATTTCAAAACTTGCATTTAACTACTGATTTTATCTACTGTTCTGATTTTATCTGTTTTGATTTTATATACTGTTGTTTGTTTGTTTGTTTGTTAATTAGTTAGTTAGTTTATTTGCTTGTTTTATTCAATTTTAAATCATGCTTTTTATTTGTTCTTGTTTCTAATGTCTCTGTAAAGCACTTTGAATCACCTTGTTGTTGAATTGTGCTATACAAATAAACTTGCCTTGCCTTGCCTTACTTAAACTGACCAAATTCTAACTTCTGAACAATATTCAATGGTTAACAGAAGATTCCTTATCCAGCTACCCATCTTCTTCCACTTATTAAGATTCTTCATGGTGATAAATCTTATGTGTTAACCTCCTAGGACCTGGTGTCCACATATGTGGACATCACATTTTGAGTTGTCTAAACCAGCGGTCCCCAACCTTTTTTGCACCACAAACCGGTTTAATGTCAGACAATATTTTCACGGACCGGCCTTTAAGGTGTCACGGATAAATACAACAAAATAAAATAATATGACTGAGACAAAAACAGTGGTATTTTGTAAATATAATAATAAACGTGAATTCACTGTGTAATTGTGTAACTTCATGAGCAGCGTCCTCCTGAAATGTGCCAATAACATCGAGAGTAACATCCTCATCTCTGCCCCTTAATGCTCTCTGGTCGCTATGGTGACGCGTAAATATTTCTTTCAAAATAAGACACACAACTCCAACACGGGAAAAGACCCAGGGAAACAGAGTTAACGATAAAAAACACTGAAAACCATAAATTTCACGCCCGAGCCTCAAGTCTCACGGCCCGGTACCAAGTCTGTCTGGACCTTTCTGGCATGTTGTCATGTTACTTCTGACTAACTCAGATACTTTTATATGGTTGTGAAATACAGCCAACCAAATGACCAAAAGAATCTATACTTCACACATTACAATCACCTGTGAATTTTGATTAATTATGAGCCAGATGTGCTACTAAGCCACTGATGTTCTGATATAAATCTGTGTATTTTGTGGGGTTTTCCCTGTTGACCTTTTCAGTTTCTCTTTACTTGACCGGTCCACTGTGACTCCACTGTAGTCTGTGCTTTGAGTGGTCCATAACTAGAAAGGTGCTGTGACAGGCCAGCCAATCCCTAATGGAATAAGGATGTAGCAATTATGATTACCTAACTTTATGTAGCTGTACTTGAGGCTGAGGATACCAGAAGACCTCACTGTGCTGAATTTGTCTTTACTTTATCACTCCACTGTTACTTTTTGTGGAATTTCACCTTTTTATATAGTTGTTTTCTTTTTCTTTTCTTTTTTCCTTTCATTTGAATATAAAAATGTTGGACTTCACTGTGTGGTCTTCACCTGTGTCGCTGGCAAACCTCAGCAGGAGAACACTGGTGGGTCAGCCTTCTTTGTAATTAGTCTTTGTTGTTCAGGTTCATGGAGGACCTACAGGCTGAAGTCCAGGAGATGGAGTTTCTGCAGTTTTCCAAAGGTATGGACACCATGCGGAGGGAAGACTTTGCAGAATGGCTGCTACACTACACCAACGAAGAAGACAATGAAGTCTACTGGGAAAACATGAGGAAGAAGATACCGGCGGGTCAGGTACAAGCACGCTTCCTCCACTCGGTGCCGTCAGAATAGGATTTGCTGTGGCCTGAAAGTCAGCTGTCATGTTTTCTTTTGTAGAGTATCGCATTCGATGAGTTCAAAGCCTTCTGCCTGTTCACCAACAACCTGGAAGATTTTGCCTTCTCAATGAAAATGGTCACAGAAGCCAACCGTCCTGTGGGCATGGGTACGGTTTCTCTGTCGGTTAGATCAGTCTGTAGTTTTCTTCCAATCTTCCAGACATAGATTTTTTTTTTTTTTTTTTTCTCCCTACAGCCCAGTTCAAGCGAGCTGTGACGATTGCCACAGGCCACGAACTCTCCGAGAACGTGCTGGACACAGTGTTTAAGCTTTTCGACATAGATGGAGACAACTGCCTGAGCCACAAGGAGTTCATTGGTGTGATGAATGACCGAGTACTGCGGGGTCTAAAGGTACTCTCCCCATCTTCTTAGACTGTTTTGTGTCCATAAAACACTGACTTTTCTACTTTGTCACCATGTTTAAGTGAAGTGAATGCCTCTCTCACCTCCATGTGTTAAATATAAAACTGTAAAAGCCTGATGTGTGGGTACAGATATAAGACACTTATCAAAGATCGTCAGTGCTCCTCTAACTGTAGTGTAGATCACACTGAAGTACACAAACACTAAGGCACATCGTTAACTCATGTCATCCATGTGCAACATTGTCTATCACTAAGAACTACTTACTTACACAAGTTTATTTAAAAAGGGCACATGAACATATTAGACTGGACTGTTAGCTTTTGGTTGCCAAGGTCCATCCATCTCAGGGTCTGTTCCAGTTGTTCATTTTGTTTAAGGAGTGAAGTGACGCTGACGTATCTGTGCAGCCATAAGAAGAAGTGTTTGAATTCTCTGAATACTAACCAAGGCGCTTCAGTGCTTACTTGCCGTCCCAGAATTTATAGCGACAAATCATCCGACCATTCCTGGAAACGATCAACTAAAACAATAGTGGCATACATCTGCAAATGTTCATTAGAAGCATAACCTGCTAAAATGTTTTGAATTTTCAGCAGCAGTCTGTTAACTCCACTGTCGAACTCTGAACGTCGCGCTGCTGTAAGAAAATCTGATTCTCGTCCAGTTGCTGCCTCGCATGAACGTAGGTTTACAAGCTTTCTGAATCCAGATGATGAGCTATGTTACTGATCTAATTCCGTTCAGGCTTCTGTAAAATTCAGTTAGTAAGCTTCATTTTCTATTGCTGTTTTAAGGATCATCATTAATCATTTTTTTTACTTTTATTGAGCCGGCCATAAATCTACTGAATAAAGCATCGTGTGAAATGGTGCTTAAGTCGATTAACTGCAGGATCTGCTTTCAAAATATTCTGGCTTCACTGTTGTACAGACAGCCGAGGAGACGGTGGAGCATTCCAGCTCTTCTGGCCAGCCTAGGTCAACTTTTATTTTTAGCAGACATGAGTGTGTCTCATTTAACTAAGAGTTGTATTTATTTTCCTTACATAAACTGATTCTTATTGCACTCTATACAACATGTCACATTTACACAAGCACTGTCTTCTATGCTTTTAAGTGCTTACTAACTATCATTCACACACCGATGGATGCCCAAGGATATTCGGCACACAGACTGGGGGAGCCAGGGATCGAACCTCCAACCTCCCGATCAGTAGAGGACCTGCTCTATCTCCTGAGCTACATCCACCCCTTAATTAGCTAACCAAAGCGAGTTAAAGTAGTGGGCACACTGCTCAACATGTCATATATTTACATCCTAATTGGTGTCGCTGGGATTACATGTACTGTAGAAACAACTGCCATCATTTGACTTTAATCATGGCAAAAATACAAATTGTTTATTAGCAATAGATATTTTACATATCACTCCTAGGCTGCATGCTAATGCTCGTCTCCCAGAACCGTTGGTGTGATGCACAGTGTCTTGCCCTCAGGTGCAGCCTCAAAATGGCATCTCTGGCTACTGGAAGTGTGTGAAGCGGGAGACCCTGAAGGCAGCCCAGGAGGCCCTGGTAGACGGCGGGTGTCCCATCTGAAGCACTGATATGCACCGTGATCATGCTCACCACTTCTGTCTTTTCTTCAGTTGTATGAATGAAATTAATAACTGCATGTAAATGAATATAGGTTTATACCACTGTCTTTGTAAAAGTATGTTTACAGCTAAACACATTTTGGTTTGATATTAGTTAAAGCTCTTTGGGTTTGCTTGTGGTGTTTACAATATTACATATAATTGTTTGGTCAAGCATTTTATCCTGTATGGCTGATCACTATTAAACATTCACATGCACTTAAGGAGCAGGACTGCAGTCAACATTTCCTGTAAAAGTGACTTATTCATGAAAGTGAGAATCCTGGTTGCACTGAACAGTGTAACAGATTAGAGGATCCTGCCATGAATACACACATTTCTCATTTTCTGTGCACACTAGTCAGAGTGATTTATTCTCATGGACACAAATGCAAATTTTTACCAGTGCCAAGAAGCTGGCTTGGTTTTTACATGTACTTCTTTTTTTACTCCTGAGCATTAATGTGGTTACCAGAGATCAGTCATGTGAGTCAATAGTGGGTAAACAGCAGTCTGGCATAAATCACTTCCAAGATGACAGACATGTGTAATCTGTCTAATGTCACATTCTCAACATGCTAAATAGCAGCAACTATTTGTTGTGACTGCTCATGCTGTTGTTTACCGGTGACTCACCAAAGCATTTTACAGCTGAGTGCGCACATCTCGAAATGAATGTCGGGCCTCCCACTTTCAACAGTAACAGAGCAGCTGCTATTTACTTAAATTCTGGAGTAACCAGCGGGGTGTACTGTGAAGTTAATGGTTTAGCTATGTTGAAACTCCGTTTTGTGTCACATAAATGGCTTTTTTACCTGGCTAAATCAGCAAGGTGTTATGTTTGGAGTTTCCATATGAAATGGGTTGGAAGCCAATATTACAGTATGTATTAAGCACAATATAGAACGTCTGCTGGAAAAATTTTTATATACGCAAATTGTATTTTGCTCGTTTGTGTTGTTGTGTTTGCACATCTCTGTTGCTTGTGGGGCTCGCACACAAGAATTTCACTCGCATGTGCTGTGCCAGTGTGCCTGCACATGTGATGTGACAAAAGTGATTTGATTTGATTTGTTGTACCTAACTAAAACCACTCAATGAAGCATAAACTATGCATTCCATTGTCATGGGAATGCGCATGTATTAATTTGGAGATTCAGAAAACATGTTTTGTTTATGGTATATATATATATATATATACATATATATATATATATATACACACATACAATTCACTACTTTGATATTAAAATGTATACACTTTAAAGCTCCAGAACTCCAGCTGTCACCTTAGAAACGAACAGCACCAAAGAGCACACTTGGCAATTACAATTATTAGCTTAAATGGAAATTTTTTACCGCATCTATGCACTGAATTACCAGCAGTGTTTTAGTTTTTATATTCTTTATAGATTTTAAACAACCACTGTATTATTGGCTGATAATGTCTCTGTCACTCAGCGATCATTTTGTGGGGAAGAACAATCACATGGTACATAAAACACCCCCTTTTCTATGTGTGTGCCCACAGACCCTGAAGCAGAAAGCACAGCCCAACAGATAATACCACCATTGTGGTACCCAAAAGCCTGGACGTGTTGAATTTCATTCGTAGTACACCCCTCAGGCTGTTCATACTACTGCAGCCAGGTCACCTAAGTGCATGTAAATACACATTGTTCAGTTTGTTTACAACCCTGCTAATAGTGGTTTGTGGAAAAGATTCTAATCATGCCAGTGAGCTGGTGTGGGATTTCCCTATTTTTCCTGTCAAAAATATTTATCTAATAAAGTTTTATATAAATGCACAACTGAGGCTTCCAACGGTCATTAGTAGAAAAGCGGCAAAGTGACTAAGTTTTAACTACATTGTCATTTATTGTAGAATTGACCTGTTAAGATCACATGAGTATGTGGGTTAACCATTGAAGATTGTGATGCTAATAATTTTACCATACATAGACTTTAAAAAGTAAATAGACAAAACAAGCTTACTTGCATGATAGAAGAACTAATTAGTGACTGATGCCAGGGTTATCAGTGAATACAGCATACACAGCTACAATACAATAAAATTACATTGAGCATGAAGCCATCTTTGGTCTTCTCATCACTATAAACAAATACATAGAAATTTGTATTGTATCAAAAATAGAAATTACATAGCCATATTGAAAGAAAATTCACATTTTTGACACACAATATAAAGAGAATAACAAGTGACGTATTGTAAGGTTTACATTTTTCTCCCCTTGGCTTTAAGGACCCAATGGTTTTAACATTTTTTGAACATTCGTTTTTAAAGAATTGCATCATTCTGTCAAACCATGTAAAAAGTATCCTGCGTCTGTGTCAGACAGGATGCAAAAACCAACAACAAAAAAAAAGATCAGATTGTCATTGTTAGGGGGGGAAAAAAAAAGTGTGTGCTTTTAATCCTGGGCTTTTTGAAATGAGGCCTCTACCACACTAGGAAAAAAAATAAATAGATTTTTTTGGGGGGTTTTTTTGTTTTTTTAAAAGGATGGAGAGAGATTGGGTCGAGACTTGATTCGATCACGATGCAGCCCCGATGCTCAGACGTTTCCCTCCTCTCGTGAGTGAGTCTTGTCTCGAGTTACCGGTCTTTGTGTAGTGGTCCTCCTGGGCTTCAGAGTTATTTGGCTCTTGGAGGCACACATGATGAACTACAGCCAAAGTGGACCTCTGCTTGAGATTATAGGTAAGTGCTTTCACTGTGTTTTAATCCACTGTGGAAAAAGAAGAAAGCCATGTAAGAATATCAAACAGCAGAGTGACACAGGGATTCTTTGTCCCACAGCTCAGACCTGATATTGAGATGCATCTAATACATACAGGTAACTCCACATTCAAAAATATTCTCCTCACACAGTAACATCAAGAAGATATCTGATATCATTCTAAAAGAGAACAAAGAGGCTAAAAACATTACAAGGCTCATGTAGATGAATTTTTAAGAAACAAAGTTGTGCCACAGATGGTGTGCCCCCACAGAGCCCTGCTCACAGCATCATGAGATTACATGAAATCTCCAATGAGACATCAGGTTGTCTAATGCCTAACATACACTAACACTGAAATCTGGTGCCTTCTAACATCTAAAGACAACTTATCAGAAGTCAAAAGTTTTAGTCATGTATTATTCCATCACTTTTGATTCTGTCTGAGCTCTGGCCAAGTCATATGAGCACCTCAGACCTGATGATGGGAGTGTGCCACAACTTCAGCAAAACTATCAAGTCATCATAAGGAGATTTCATCCATTTCTAACACTGAAATCACTAGTGTAGCAGTTTACACATTTGCTTAGTTCAATTCCAGCCAGAGACTAATACATTTTCGGGTTGCATGTGGCGTAGTGACACCTCGTGACAAGGAAGAGTTGAAAGTAACTCAACAGTGTCACTGAAATCATCAGAGAAATTGGCTGGGCAAAGCTAGCACCTACAAATTATTTTTTTTCCCAAATTGGTCAAAAAAACAAAACAAAAACCTTGTCTGACATCTACCACCAAAGATATTCTAATTTCTAGAATAGTGTTGAAGAAATATTAACACACAAGTTGTTTAACAAATGTTTATATATAACATTTGTTAAACAATTTGGGCTGCAGTTACCCTATTTAATAAAAGCACATGTGAAACCATATGCCTGCACTTGTCTGCCATTTTTATTTATTTTTAACTGCTTTTGATAGTTGCTTTAACACTCGCTGATAAAGTTCTGCTATAAAACAAAGAGGCCTGCTCCTCTCAGGTTTTTCTCACCATTCACTGCCAAAAGGATGGAGGGTCAAGGGTCGTTCTCCTTCTTTACTGTCACATCTCCTTCTCCAGCTAGGATGGTTGAGATCTCACCCTGCATGAAGGCCCAAGGCACAGTGGATCCGGCCAGGGGGCAGCGTTCTCCGCTGGGGCAGTAAACCTCTCCTCCTTGACCTTGGCTGCGGATGAACCCTCGGGTGCAGGGGAAGCAGAACTTGTGGTGCGGGACTGAGGGACACTGGACAAAGTGAGTGTCCTCCAGGCGCTCTCTGCAGAGGGTGCAGCAAAGCAGGGTGCCTGGGGTGCTACTTGTAGACTCCCCAGTGTTTGTGTTGTTACTTTGTCCTCCAGTGCTCAGACCCTGCCCTACAGCTGCCTGAGAGACTGAGGTGGAGGGAGTCGAGGGGCTGCTGCTGCTGGGGCGCCCAGCTGAGGAGGAGTGGGCTGTGGACATACTGGGGCTCTCTCTGGCCATGTGACTGGAACTCAGGCCATCTGCCACTCCCATAAGTGCTGAGATGGGTGAAGGCTGGTTGTGTAGACGAGGTGGGCCCTCTTGAGGTACAGCCATGCCAGGAAGAGGTTCCATGCCTGAGTACGTGCCCCGGGGCCAGGGCTCCCTCACAGGGTGTTCGGCCCTTCCCTCACTCTCTCCGTTCTCAGAGCCTGGAGAAGCCTTTCGGCGCCTGGTGGTGCCCTTGGCTGGTCCGGGGCGTCCAGGAGCTGCCAAAGACAGCACTGGGTCTGGCTGTGGCAGAACCTCTGGGATTGGAGGCTCTTTAAACATACGCACACCATCATTCAACAGCTCAGACAGCCCACGCCAGTCTCCGGTGCCTTGCCGTTTCTCATATTCCACGTAGCGCAGCCCAGAGTTTACTGCCTTACCAGCATCTTTGGCGGAGTCACGGAACATCTGCCTGACCAGATCTGGAACTCCTGAGTAGATCATTCCAGAGCCAGAGGGATACTCCGCGAACACCCTCAGCTCAAACTCTGGAGTAGCGCTAGCATCAAAGGCCAGAACACGCCCCATCAGATTATGGTCTTTCCTGAAGCGCACATTGAAGGGGACACAGCTGCTGAGAGCTACCAGCACATCCCGAACTGCTTTGGGACGGTTAGGCCAGCCTTCCACTCTACTACGAGCCACCTCATTCAGTTCAGCCATTACTTCACTGTTCCTCCACACTGCCGGATCTATGCCCACTAGAGTAGAAGTGCTAGGTCCCATACCCAGGGACACAGCCTGTCTTCTGCCACTGTCGCTTATTATGGGGCCAGCTGAGACGGCAATAGGAGCGGCCCCAGCTCTCGTGCTTGTTAATGGGGTTAAAATCCCATGAGAAGCTGTTGCTACTAGCCCCTGAGCTATCAAGGCATGGGGTATGGTGTTATGAAGACTAGAAACTACCCCAGGCATAGCCCGACGAGTGTTCGGG